AACCTCCGAGCCAGCCCAGAGCCCCGGGTCCCAGCCTAAATGGTCCTCGCTCCTGTCCCCTGTCTCTCCGGGGATGGCTCTGGACCAGGGCCAGTGCTGATGGAACCTGCCCACAGGCAGGCAAGCGTCAACCCTCCTTGGATCCAATGGGCAATTTTGCAAATGTAGCCATGGAAACTGCCAGAGGAACGAACACAGCAGCACTGTCATCTGGCGAGGGCTTGGCCAGGCAAGTCATGGAGGTGGGGTGGGCCTCACGGGGCAGCCATGGAAGGCAGCAGAAGCCCTGGGGTCACACAGCAAGTCAGCACACTGAGGAACGAAAATAGTCTCTGCCGAAACCGGTTTGGCTAAGTGGACAGAGCGCCAGTCTGCGGACTGAAGGGTCCCAGGTTCCATTCCGGTCAAGGACATGTACATTGGTTGCGGGCACATCCCCAGCGGTGGTTGTGCAGGAGGCAGCTGGTCGATGTTTCTCTCTCATCGACATTTCTAGCTCTCTATCCCTCTCCCCTCCTCTCTGTGGAAAATCAATAAAAAAAATATTTTTTTAAAAAGAGAGAGAAAATAGTCTCTGACCTCCAGCCCCAGGGCTGTGGGGCTACCTTGCTTGTTTTCCTATCTATCTGTTTTACCATGTGCCTTTGGGGCCTGATACATAGTAGATGCTCAATAAATATTTATTGGCTGGATGAATAATTCTGGCTACACCTCCCGTGCTGCAAACAGGGGAAGGTTGGATTATTTACAAGTCTGGGGGACGATGAGCTCATAGAAGCCATCTAGCTCTCCTTGCTCTGTAATTTCTCAGGAGGGGTTGGGCTTGGATGAAGAAGAGGAGGCAGGAGAGCAGAGAAAGGCTCTGATGGTTCCAGTGTCCCCACTGTGCCAAGACCCCCAGTGGGGCAGAGGACCTCCGAGCAGTGACCTCTCCTTGGCAGAGCCCATGCATTCTCAGAACGTGCCCTGGCCATGGTGTGAGGGGGCGTGTAGGGCAAAGCTGTGTCCCCGGAAACACAACCAGGCAGCCCTAGGAGAAACCTCCCCAAGGAGCTGGGTCTGGGGAACCAGGACCCTCTTTCCTTCTCCCCCTTCTCCCAAAGACCAATCAGCAGGTAGGTCTCTCCTCCCCCAAACCCTAATCCCGCCCTCAGGAGGCTACTCGCCCAGGCGGATCAGAGGCTGATGGGGCTGAAGCTGTCTGGGGAGAAGGAATCTGCATTTCCCAGGCATAAGGTCAGAAACCAAAGGTGTGAATTCTTAAAGGTGGATTTCCAGTATCTGCCAGCCCACAGGGTGCTCTCTATAGGGCCAGGCTGACCTGCCTACGGGACATCCCGGGAGGGCCAGGGCCTCGGCCACTTCCCGTGTCCAGAGAGAAGCAGAGGGGGTTGGGACAGTGGGTCAGAGCCTCACATCCTCTTGATTCAGCAGCAGCCTCACCCCCTGGAGGTGAGGGCTCCCCCACACTGTGGGTCCACCTGTCTTTGGTGGCAATGCTCGGAGATGAGTGCAGAGTAAGGAACATGCACTCTTCCTTCACATCCAGGGGGTCTGAGGGCCTGTTCTCTCGGGGGTGGGTGGGAGTGGACATGGGCTAAGAGAACATACTCCCCATTCCCTGATATTGACCCTAACGCCCAGGCCTGAAGTGCTGGTGAACTAGGCCTCCAAGAACGGCTTCCATGGTCATGGCAACTCATCGAATCTAACAGGATGACAAGTGGGGCCTGCAGTTACAGCGTGGAGAAGGCCACTGACTCCTGTCCTGGGATGAGGGTGGGACTTTCCCCTCAAGCTTACAGCTCACGGCAAAGCCCACCATCCCGCCCACGGCAAGTCCCGGAGAAAAAGAAAGATGGAGGGTCCTGTTGTCTATTGGGGAGGCTCCACCTACATGGAGCTCACCGCCTACACCGAGACACCCAGATGTGCTCTCATCACACCCTCCCTGCACCAGCGACCTGGCCACACAAGTTCTATTAAGAAGCCTCTGCCTACTCTCACTCCAGACCACAGTCCTCAACCACACACTCCGCTTAAGGGGGAGGCAGGTGGACCAGGGACCAGGGACTCACAGAGGTTCCTTAGAAACCAGCCCAGTCACAGCCAACCCACGGTCCTTGGCTGGGAATACACATTCTCCCAAGAAAGCCATCTCTACTCCCCGACACCGAGTGACCCACTGGGCTCGCAGTTCAAACCGAGGAGAAGAGGAAATCATGGCTTGTAGTGTGTTCTCAGCTACGTCGACAAATGGCCATAAATATTGATGATGGGAAATTTCATTATTTAACAATTCCGGTCCAAATTTCCAGCTAACACCATGAAGAGTGCCCACTGAACAGGTTGCAAATTAAGAACAATTATTTTCCTCTTCTGCATTTGAATGGAACTTACAGCAAAAGTCATTGAAAGGGGTTAACATCAGCCTTAATTAAATATTAAAGTGTGCCTGTACCTGCTGCTATTGTTGCCCCTTCGAATAAGATATAACCTATTTTTGACAAGTTTTCATCTTTCTCTGTGGAAGACGCTACATGAAACCAAATCAGTGGCAAAGAGGAGAGTAATGAATAATCTATTTCATATTCCAAAGGTACCCAGAGCTCCGAGTGGAAAAAATATTCAGTCAGATGATGGCAAGGAGGCTGCTGTGGTACCACATGACACAGCTGATGTTTAAATAATAATAATAATAAAAAAAAGCGATAAACAAATCATTAGCCCTTCACAGTTGTTTAATGCAATTTGTTAATGAACGCAATGGTGGGGACTAATAATGAAAGAAAATAAAACCGTCTAAACAGGCGCCAAGTTGCTGGCGATGCGCAATTATTTCCTTGTCAAGTTTTTATGATTTAATGAGCCCCTCTGGGACTGATGGCTGTCAGTCAGTCGTGACTTTTTGACACCATTACAACTTCAAATACAGCAGCAGGCAGGCTGTTTTCCTCGGATTTGAAATACTGAAATGATCTGACAGTTTTAAAGAAAAGATGTGCAGAGAGAGAGAGAGAGAGAGAGAGAGAGAGAGAGAGAGAGAGAGAGAAAGACAGTTGCTTTCCTTTCTTTCTTTTTTCTCTCCTGCTCCCTTCTTCTTGGGAGTAGATAATCTCTGGATGCTGGTTTGGTAATGAAACCCAATCACGGAGGTCATTATCTGATGAGGTTTTTGGAGCAGGCAGGCTTTTTCCCTCTTTATTTCTTTACTTAATGATAACCCTCAATGGGCTGGCCCCGCGTGGGACGGCCAGCGCCGCACAATTTTGTTCGCCATTAATTTCAGCCTTTGAAGCTCGGGGCTCAGAAGCGGTAGCAAAGCAAACCCCCCACCACGCTGCTTCCAAAATAAGACAATCCGGCCTGCCTGGAACGGAATCGCAAATGGCCTCCCGGTCCAGGCTGGCAGCTGACGTCAAGCCCGCCGCCTTTGCAGGCACTCACTCGCCTTCAACGTGGAACATTTAAAACTCTTTACAACTTGAGAGACCGTTAATTAAATTGCTTTGGACTCTGGAGCAGGGCAGCATCTGCTTTATTTATTCTGTCAGGGAAACTGGAGCCTGCGGTGGATGTTATGTGGCAGGGCCTTCCTCCTCTTCCTCCTCCTCTGCGTCTTCATCACTAGCTACCCCCATCGCCCTGACCCCGCATCGCAAGGCATCTTAAACGATATTCCCAACTTGAATTCCATTGATCAGTTGAGGTCTGTGTATCAAGTTCCTGGAATCTTTTGATTGTGTGTGGGCTTTCTTCCTTCCCCGGAAGAAAGAGGACAATCTGTCTGTCTGAAGGTTCTTTAAGACTCTCCCACAGCGTCCAGGAGGGCTCCGCCCCGAATTCAAGGGACCTTCAGACCAGCTTCCTACTAGGCGCTTCCTACTCTGGGCTGGGGGCGGCTCTCAAGGGGCGTTTGATGGGGCTGTTTGGCCAAGGGTTATCTGTTCATATCTTTCCTGCTCTAGGTTGAACTGGGACAAAATCTCAGGCAAGAGCTGATCAAGAGAACCCCAAAGAAAAGGTCACTGAGAGATGAGCAAAGCACTCCTTCCTTCATCTACTTCCGCCTGAGCACAGGTTTTAGTGCAACGTGTAGGAGCTGGCAGGTTTGGGTGATCAGATCAACCTGGCTCACTGTGTGGCCTGGGGAGGGTCTGGCGTCTGAGATGCAGCTGGAGACCTGGTTACCCGCTTGAGAGAAGGAAGATCAACAGTTTCGAAGGAAAGAAGGAAGGCTGGAGGCTCCCTCCCCACCATGAGTGTTTCCTAGCGAGAAGGAAGTGGGTTGTTTGTTTCCTTGCTTTTTCATGGTTTCTTCGATGTGTTTAGCACATGCAGAATTCCGTTATCAGAATAAAAGATCCTCGCTGAGATGGATCCCGTATGCTGACGGGAAAATCAGCAGCGCCTTCCCACTCCGCTGCCCAAATCTCACCCAGCCCCGCACAGCAAAGGCTGCAGCTCTGTGCACGCGATCCTAAATGATTTATCTGAACACGAGTTCTCGGGTGGATTTTGCCATTCTGCATTTCCTCCCTTCACCATAAGGGTTCTCGTCTGCGTTGGGGGGCAGCAACATATTACGTGCTGCACCTAGCGGAGCCCCCTGCATGGGCACAGGTGGGTTAGCATTTTTTATGAAGAGAACAGGCTTGCTTTTCAAGGACTCAAAGCTCCCAATTATATTCCAAAGATAGTGCGGCCCCTGTAAGTGCCTATGAAGTCTTAAAGAAAAACACATTTTGCTTCATGACCAGGGGGAAAATGACCTCAGCTGGGGCAACTCGAAGCTCATCGCAAATGAACTCATTCTGAACGCAATTCCCCGTTACCGCGGACAGAAAGAGACCAGAGAAGATCACAAAGCCTGTTAGAGGTTTGAATGCATCGTGAATTCAGGAAGGCGAGGCTGACATTTGTTAGTGAGAAACCCAAACTGTCTTTTTTTGCAACACGGGGTGGGGCGGTACCTCTCCTTTCAAGGAGGTGATCGCCCGTTTCCCATGAAGTTTATTCCTCGTGGATCCCCCCTATAGGACTCTACCTTATTTATAATCACATTTGAAATTTCACTCTGACGGAGTCATGTTCTTGCTCTTCCTGAAATATTCATGCTCTCTTTACATACCGGAATGGATGTGGGGAGAACCTTGTCAGACCTTTCGCATGTCTGAGGGCTGCATTTGGCAGCGCAAATATTAAAACCGAAAGGATACAGGAGTGCTTACACAGGTCAGGGGAGAGGGGGTCACAATGAAATACTGTGCCAGGGCTCACGCTGCCAGCACATTCTGGGGAGGCGGGGACTTGGGGAGGGCATGGAAACATTTCTTGTAGCCAGTAATCAAAGTTGTGAAAAGTGGACATTGGGCAGGCTCAGCAAAAATAATCCGGGGTGTAAAAAAAAAAAAAAAAAAAAAAAAGAAAAGAAAAGAAAAGAAAAAGAAAAATTATGCGTAGAAAAACAGAGAAAGTGCTAAGTTAATTTCCTGCCCAGCAGATGCAGAAACCTCCTTTACAATGAAAGCACTCAGGCGGGCTGACTATGTTCATTGTGCTGGAGTAGGAGTGGGGCTGGTGTGCCGAGGCCCGCCACTGCTCTGATCCCTGCTTCTCTCTCTGCGTTTTGATCCTCGGACATCACACAAGGGCAATTTGGTGACAAGAGACGTGTGACAAACAGTGCGGCCCATCACGAGCCCCGTGACAGACTCACTGCGCCCTCTCCCAAACCGTGACCCCTGACATGTCCAAGGGGCACGGAGAATGCCACCGAGGCTATTTTGGTCGGTAGGGGAAAGGCCCGAGAGGCAAATAAGGCCTCACCTTGCCCTCCACAAACACACATCTGGGCGAAGAAAACCTAGGAAAGGAAACCAACCCACATGCAAACAAGAATAAAAATATTTTTACACTCTCTGCACTCCTGTGCTGAACAGTGGTGAGAGGGAGGGAGGGTCACTCGGGGCCTGTCAGCGCGAAAGAATGATTCATGTGACCGTTTTGTCTTAATTACTCAGCACGAGCCACCGCTGCTGTGTATCAGGGACCCGCCGATACATCAGTGTCCTCGGATGGAGAAAGTGATCGCCATCAGGATGGTGATGACCAGGATGACGGCCAGCACGACGACCAGGACGCGGTTCTGGATGATCCTAGGAGACAGCAAAGGAGAGAGAAACTCAGGTGATCGGAGCACATGCAGACAAAGCTCGTCCAAGATCAAGTTGGCTAATCAAACAGTGGCTTCACAGGCTGGGGTGGTGAGACTGGAGCGTGTGTGGTGTGTGTGTGTGTGTGTGTGTGTGTGTGTGTGTGTGTGACCACACAGCTTTTTGGTTCTACAAAGGATCCACAAGGAAACCAATGACTCCACAGATATTCTGAGAATATGCAAGTACCAAATCCTCTGTTTCTCTTGGAGCCATGTGGGTTGGGGGGGGGGGGGAGAGGGGTTCAAAGGGTTCCTTCCACCTGTTTTAGAAGGTGTCACGCTGCACCTGGAGACATGCTGCAAACCGAATGGCTTTCTAGGTGCGGAGTGCCACGTGGCATCTCTAAGTGACTGAGGGCCCGTGAGAGAGTCTCTTTTTAATTGAACATGTGAGACGAGCCTCATTTTTATTTTTTCCCCCTGTGTTTCCGTTAAGGTAATAGACTCCCAGGAAACATATGTCAGTGAGGTCCTTCCCTGTACAAAAACACCTGGGGAAAAGGAAAAGCGAGACTTAGGACAAAAAGGACAGGATTAAGAAGCAAGTGTCAAGCTTGTAGTTCAGGCTGTGAGACCGTCCCCTGTCACTGGGGCTCACGCGCTGTGACGCCAAGAGGAAACGTTCCATTTGCTCCACAGCGAAAGGGGGTGGGAATGAGAAACAGCACCAAGTTCCCGGGCACCTCGAGGGTTTGGGTTGGTGGGCCCTCATTTCCGGGACTCCAACTGCTCTGGCTTTGCCAAATGCTGATGGGGAACAGGAGACTGAGGGGAGTCGGAGCGGAGGCACCGGCTCCAAGATGCCTGCAGAGAGCTTCCGAGAGCGGTGTTTCATAATTTGCCACCTCATTCTGAGAAAAGAGGTCGAACATCAGAATGCTTTGTGGGGACTTTCAAAGGAAACTGAGGTCAAAGAGCCTCGCCCACGCTCACTCCCACAGAACCAACCACACAAAAATAGAGACAGCGTGCTTGGCGGTCTAGCTGGCTGTCCACACCGCAAAGACACTACAGCAAACCCCATCGGTCCATCCTCCAAATATGAAGCACAGAAAGGTCTGCTGCCTGAGTGTAGACACAGATCACTGGACTGGGCGTCCATAGGTGGGACTGGCCAGGCACCCAGTTTAACAGAGACCTCCACCCTCCTCCTTCCCATCTCCCAGGAGAAGTCTTTGTGGGATGGCCACGTCTTTTCTAGCTCTGGCTGCATTGCTTCCTTGGAAGGATGGCGACACCCCTGTGGTTTCAGTCGGATTCCTCCTTGCCCACCCCCTTCTTGCCCAAACCTAAATGGATGGATAGAGACCGTCACATCAGACAGGCCCACTCCCTTTTGCCCCCTGGAAGAACTAGCTCCCTCTCCTCCTGACAGGTTACAAAATGATCACATTTGCTGACACGTCTTCCGCAAAACTGCTTTAGTGCCTGTGTCCACTTTCCTGGAAGGAGATGAATGATCCGCTCGGTCCTCATTCATCAAGTCCAGCTCGGCTAAGATCTGTCTCGTTTATTTCTCCTCTTCCCCACTAGAAAGGCTGTGCCCCGACATTAATTCTTCTGCGATGACAGCTAATTCAGACTTCACAGGCCATGCTTACTCAGGAGGCAGGAAGATTCTCCACCCCCAAAATAAACAGGGACAGGACTTCTCAGCTTGTTACACGGGGCTAATTGTGAACACTGATAGGTGCTAGTCGGTAGCTGATTTAAAACCCAAATGGATTTTCCCTCCCTTTTCTCTGGAAGGGGCAGGAGCCTTCAGAATAGTCCCTGCACATCCTGTTTGCCCGCGTCACTGTCACAATCTCTATTTACCACAGTCACCCGCATCAGACTTGCAAAGGAAATCAGCAAAATTGAAACCCAGCAGTGAAACAGATTAAAAGCATGAAAACTCTTTAAAATTTCTACTCTAAGTACTATTCGGTAGCATGTCTCTTGGTTGACAACCATTTTATTTGTGGGCTGAGGGCCCCAAGGCATCCATGATGCTCATTTGTAAGAGATGAACTGTGGACGTTACTTGTTGAATCTGAGGCACCGTTAAGAAAACAAACGCACAGGAAGTCTAAATTCTCAGCTCTTCTCCAGCCTTTCCTCATCTCAGGGTAGAGGGTAGTGCACCCTCAACCTTCCCTAACAGCTTCACTATCTGTAGTTCACTCAACAGACACCCCATCACAAGATGGGTGACCTGATCACGGACCATCAGAAAGATTGAATTGCCCACTTCCTCCTCGGTGGGTCCACAGTCATCTCTCCAGCCCCAGCGCATGTCACAGATCCTGACACAGACCTGTCCCAAGGATGATAATGAATGAGCGCAGCCTTACAATTGCCATCCTTCCATTCAAGGGAGAATGAAGATCCGTGCAAATTTAATTTGCAGGAAAACCCCAGGGAGTCTGTGTTGAAAAGGCTGAAGTTCAAGTTGAAGTTCCCCAAGGATGGAATTTCATATCATCATGCATTCTCAGAGCGCTGATGGGTCTCCCTTGGGAAGCGAGGAGAAGGGTGGTGTGTGTGAGGTGGGAGAGGTCGGCAGGTGAGAGCATTTGCTTTCAAACCAAAGGCTGGCCAAGCCATCAACTCAGCTTTGGATCTCAAAAGTGTTGGGCAGATACAGCACCCCTCAGGACCAGAAAAATGAGCGGTTGGGCCCTCAAGTAAACAGGACTGAGGGTAGGAAGGACAAAGGCTGCCATTGCTGGCCCCTTCTGGGAGGAAGCCTGAGAAGCCAGGGGCTGCTGGCAGGTATTGCTGTGGACAGAGAAAAGGGAGGCAGAGTTTGGAGAGCATCTGAAAAGCGGCCAGGAAGAGGGGTTCCCAGCTAGTGAGCCAGAGAGGAAACTTTGGGGGAAGCCCGGGATTCTTCCTTCTGAACTTTGGGGGGAGGGGCGGTGGGTGGGATTTATGTTCAAATAGGTATGCGGCAAGCAGCCTTAATCTCCCTTTTGAAAATGCAAAGTGTGTTTACCCAGTAAATAATTTAAGAAAAAATATACACTTGAAAGAAGACATCCATTGAACCAGCCAGGCTAAATTGCCTCCAGGCAAAAACTTGTGCATTTGCATGCTGCATTCTATTAAGCAAGCACACTGTGGCTTTAAAAGAATGCAGAGCCAAATTAAAAGGAATGTGGGCGCAAAAACATCAAGGATTCTCCAAGTTTACATTATGAATCACAGTGCTGTTGATACAAGATGAATTAACCATTTACTTTGAGACTGAACTCACAAAGTACTATTGAAACTACGGATCCTGTGCAGGAACCTAGGGAGGGGCCAATCTTTCCACTGCCAGTCTCCTCCTCCTCTGGCAACAAGCAGCTATGTGTGGCAGCCCAGTCACAGAAGACTGGTGAACGTGCAATAGGCAGCGAGGCACCTGGCACAGCTTCAGGAGCCTTTGCTTCAGGAGCCCTGGAATCCCACTGCAGCAGGCTTTACCAGCATTCGCCAATATCCAGTTCTCCACTTCTAGGCACAGATTCCCTTGCCCATCCCTTGATATGCAGTGTGGTCATATGACTTGTTTTAGTCAGTGGAATGTGAGCAAAAGTGCTAGGTGTTGGTTCCAGTGTTTGGTCCCTTGCTGCTCTGATTTAGGAGGCTATAGGTCCCAGGAGCGCAGTTACAGGTCGGTGGAGATCCCCCCTCTCTCTGAATCCCGGAGTCATTGCAGGGTGGGCCATTGCCCTGGAGACTCACCTGGACTCACTGGGGATGTATATTAATCCAATGAGATTTGGGGGTTGTTTGTCACCACAGCAGGATGAAGCTATCCTGACTGACACTACCGCCTGCCTCCCTTCTCCAACAAGATGGGATGTTTGGCCAGCCAAGTGAGGCTCTGGTTTAATGTATTCCAGAAGCCCAGGTATGATGAGGGTTGGTAGGACTTCTTTCCTTTCAGAAATGGGCTTTTGCTTCTTGTTTTCAATAGCTGAGATCCTATTGGGTCCATATTTGGTCGTAACACCTCCCATTAGAAACTATGGAGTTTCCAATGATGATGTTTCAGAAGGCTCAGCTAGCACTCCGCTCACCATGTAGAGCAGATTTGGTCATTGCATTTATTTATTCATTCCACACAGTTGACACTAGCCCTCCTCCAAGGCCAGAGTTGTGACCTCCTAGGCTAAGATGGTCAGTGTCTTTCCATGCCCTTGGCTACAGAGACTGGAGCAGGCACGTGATTCAGCCAGTCCAATAGAGTGAGTCTCAGAAGCTCTGACTGCAATACTGGGTCATCTGGACCGTGTTAGTCTGGATCTGCTGCAGCCACTTAGTCTCCATGAGGAAAACCAGCCTGAGAAAGAAACTGAGCTACCGAGGACAGTGGACTGAAAGAATGGCATCTCAGTCCTGAAGACATGATGAAGCTCTGCATCAAGCCACCCTTCCTTTGAACTTTGAATTATATGAGAAAATAAACTTCATTTTTCAAGTCAGTTTGAGTTTGTTCTCCTGTTATTTGCAACCAAAAAGCATTTTTTTTTTTTTTTTTTTTTTGGTGTGGATTCATCCTGATTCCAAACCCAAGTCTTTGATCTATTTCCCCTAAGAAGAATTTCCTGACCATGCCCCTCTTGTTCTTATGCTTCCCTGTGAAGCTGGAAGAGGCAAGAAGGGTCCTTCTCTAGAGCCTTTGGAGGGTGTATGGCCCTGCCCACTCCTAGATTTCAGATCTCAAGCCTCCGGAGATGTGAGAGAAGACATTTCTGTTTTAGGTCACCTAGTTCATGTTACTTTGTGTAGCCCAAGGACACAAATGCACAGAGTTCTAGGATTCAGACCAGGATCTGGACCTGGCTGTCTGAGTTCTAGGATTCAGACCAGGATATGGACCTGGCTGTCTGTCTTGGCCTTCACAGTGACTGCTCTCCAGATCTCCACCCACTTCTCTACTGTGGCATCTGATTATCAATGTGGATC